TAATACACAAGATTTTTTGGATTTGGGGTCGAGAACAATCTAAAAACACACGAGTTGTGGATTCGCAATTCACTCTGTGTTTCGTTTGACAGATAGACTACTTTTTTTTCGTTGTTTTGAAACGAAGTCGAGACTCGAGCAAGTTTACTTCTAAAAGAATCCACAAACAAATTAATCATCTTCCTGTCGAAATCCTCACGGGACAAGTTATTTGTTTTAATGGAGGCGAAACCACTTTGAATATATTGGTTGTTAATCAAGTGTTTAGAAAATTGCGGTTTTCCTAGTATTATTTTTTTGATATCTTTGATAATGTGTTCACAATCTTGAAACCAGGCCGAAGGGTAGCCAAAGCGCGTGTAAAATTCAGTATCTACACGGAAATATTTCCAAGAATAGTATAAATTTAAAAGAGACAAATGGTCACTGTTTCTGTCGAGAATAGCGCGTCTGTCGGCAAGTACTTTGTCAGAGCCGTTGGTATTGAACCAGTCTACTTCGAGAAACAGCATAGATGCTAAGATAATTGCTTCTGATAAAATTTCTGGATATGCCAACGTGCTAGTTGCAATTAGTAGAGCCAATTCGTATGGAAGCGGCAGCAATGAAACTAGATAACCTTTTTCCGTTAAATCTTTATTTTCATTTAAAATACCGTTTTCGTGCATCACTTTGGAAGCTGTGATAAATTTTATATCAGACGGTTTGGACAATAGATGTAACTGTGTGATTAGAACGATAATGTCTTTACTTAGTTTAACTTCTTTGTCTTTCGTCTGTGTGAAAGACTGTTTGATTCGTAGCAATTGAATAATGAAATCAACAACATCAATTCTCAGCAATTCAGGCAGGGGAAGCTCGTTAAAATTGTTGTAGTCTTTTTCAGAGTACAAACGAAAAACATGCCCAACTCTGACTCTTCCCGTTCGTCCTGCTCTTTGAATAGCCATGGATCTTGTAATTGGGACTTCTTTTAAACAATTGTTAAACATCATTTTAACGTAGCCAGAGTCAACTACAGCGCAGACATTCGGCACGGTTAGTGAAGTTTCCGCTATGTTTGTGGACAAAACGATTCGCTGTGTAGCAACATCATCAGGTGTTTGGTATATTTTTTGTTGTTCAGATATCGACTGAGATCCGTACAGTAACAGAATGTCAAAATTTCTTGCAAAAAAATTATCGAAAATGTAATTTATTTCCAGATCGATATCACTGTCGATCAAAAGGTCAATCAAGTCAGAACTGCATGGCAAATTTGTAGTATCATTAATAGAATTTAAAATAGAAGCTAGTTCATCGTATGTAAATTCACATATTGATTGCAAATAAACGATTTTAGCGTGATCTTCTTGTATTTCTAAAAACGTTGCCATGAAATCTACATGATCGTCAAATATCTTTTTTAATTCTCGTACGATTTTTATGTTATTGCACAATTGGGCTAATTCTTCTAAGTAATATTCAAGAGAAGCTTTGACGGAATTTAAAAAATCTATACCGCTACCAAACACTAGAACGTTACCTTCATTATATAGTTTCAAACTCTTAAACACGTGAGACACACTTTCTCTTATCAGATCTTCCACGGGTAAAGCAGTATGATGTATGATTCGCTCATAAAGTTTTGCAGAGATAAAAAGAGTTGAAACTGTTAACGTTCTTTTATTGAAAAAATTTTCTTTCTTATAATATGAAATAAAACTCTCAGCGTCGATAGTGGCGCTCATAACGATGAGCTTTGGTCGGATTTCGGAATTAAGAGTTAACATATAATACATCATCATCAAAAGCAAATCGATCCTAACATTTCGTTCATGCGCTTCATCAATAATAATCACACTGTATTTGGGAAGACTGGCAAATCCATTAGCAGCCCAGAGCTGAAGCAACTCCATAAAAAAAATACCATCGGTTGCATACACTAGTTTAGTTTCTTTTGCAACTTTGTTATCAAATCTCACGCGATAACCAACAAGATTTGGGACTTGACTAGCTGGCAAATTAAATCGGCTGCGAATTTCTGGATCTTGACTCAACGTCTTAGAAACGTGTTTCGCTAGAGAAATAGCAGCGAGTCTTCTAGGTTGAGTGACAATAATGTTTGAGTTTTCGAAATTTCTAAGAATGAGGTGAGGAATAATCGACGATTTACCACACCCTGTGTCACCTTGCAGAATTAACACATCATTCCGTTTTAACAACCGCACAAATTGGTCTTCATATTTAAAACAACCAAGTATCTCGCCATTTTCTGTTTTAGAAACCCAACGATGTCTACATTTTTTTTGCATAAATACAAGAATTCATCTTCAAAAGGTTAAACAGCATCTCTCCAAATATTCAAGACCTAACATTTAAAAAATTAAAATAAAATAAGTAGCACCACTTCGTTTCGATCGAAGGACCTTTGGGTTATGGGCCCAACACTCTGCCACTGAGCTATGGTGCTGAAAACTATAACATTTTAGTTTTTTATTACGGAAACTTTTCTTTGTGTATTATCGTCTAAGTGTATTATTTTTATACATAAGTTTTATAATTGGTCCAAAAAATAAAATAAACAACTTTCAAAATGCTCGATGCGCGAAAATTCCAGACTTGCAAGATTTTTAGTATTAGGCATTTCGTTAATTCTTTTGATCGACATAATAAGAGATGATCAGTTAAATGACACGGATAGATATAATAAACACAGCCACTTGGACTACTTTACTTCCCACAAGTTTTGCGTTGATCCTAAATTCACGGCTGTAAATGTCAACGAATCCAACTCGGTAGAGCTGACAGCAAATCACGGAAGAAAACTAGATGAGAGTTCGACATTTTTTGCTTTAGAGAATAATCGTTGGAGTAGTATCGGGCCTGATTTTAACTTCAAAAAAACGGTAAATAAAAAATTGGTTTATGTAAATAATTTCGGTGTATTTGCAGTGCAAACACACCAATTAACTGATGAACAATGCAACATTCTAAACTTATTCGCCATCAATGAACTAGAGGCTGAATACAAACCGCGCCTCAAAGAAATTTTAAAGCAATATGAACTACAAAACGAATGGATCTTACCTAACTGTCCCTTCCAAAAAATAGATTGTAATTTCATTACATTTCATAATAATCATAAAATAGTCTCAGCCTTTTCGCCCTGTGCAAACCCCTTGCAAAGTACACTATCTAGTCAGGCGGTATTTTTTTATGAAACATATATTTATAACAAAGGATTTATTCACGCATTTAATCTAGTTTCTCAAGTTCACACTTCAATTCCAATACAATCATACAATATTAGCAAAGAAAATCGCATACTATCTAAGGAAAACCTACGTACATCAGTTTTGAATACCTTAAACAATGTCAATAAAATGATGCTTAATCCTATAACTTCTAGCTACCTAATAACGCAAGGAAAATATTTGTTTTCGCTAACAAGAGTTGAAAGTGTATTGACAATCAAACAGTTTCATTATTCAAAACAAAAACTACGTTTCAAAAACGCGTATATCATAGATAATGTGAAAGACGTGATATACTTTCGATCTGAAGATTTCAACGCCAAAATCTATATAGTCTTTATGTTACATTTGATTTTCGCACAAAGCAAACTATTCATTATCGATATAGTGTTTCAAAAAAGTTATCTTATTAAACTCACAAACTGATTGTTTAAAATCGTGCACCAAACTTTCACAAACAAAATGCGATTCGCAAACAAGCCTTGAATAAAAATTTGAAAAAATTTCCTTTGGTAAAAAAAACGCAAACATGGTTCTTACGCGAAAAACTGAAAAAAAACAAAAAAAAGCTAAAGATGATAACTTGTCTATTATAAAAAAAGTAACAAAGTTTCATGACAACTCGAGTATAAATAAAAGTTTTCGCAAACAGGATTTTGTACAATCAAAAAAAAAAAACTCGCCTAGAACGCGAAATAACAATCGTACAGAAGTTAAAGTAAATTTTGGAAAAGCCAATGTCAAAGACAGAGGTCTAAGTGAAGAGGATAGCTCTATAGCCAACGAGAGTGAATCGACGGATTCAAAAGATTACAGCCCAAGCAGAAGTAAAAATCAAGATTTTGCTATTAATACCCACGATCGATCTAAATCAAGCAGTTTACTATCTGTGAAAAACCATAGCTTTTTTAACAAACCAAGTTTTTCTGAGTCGATTGTCGAGAAGTTCAAGACTGCTTTTATTAGTTCTATTGAATCTCCAAGTATCTTAATTAATTCTACACTTTCTGACATATATAGACTAATATAAGTTAATTACAAAAAATATTTTTTATCGATACAAACTTATAATCTAGATTAATATATTATAATATTAGTACACACAAAGTGTGAGTTTAATTCAAAGTTTACTGCTTGATTATTGTTTTCGGTTTAGGAATGATAAGAAACTCCAAATTATATGTCGCTTGTGTTTATTTTTTAAACTCTAGCTTATGGGCTAATGGGGAAGCTATAAATAAAGAAACTCTTATAAAAGACCCCATGTTATCAGATTCACAACCATTAGATACATCGGATACAACTAAATTTCACAGTAGAAATATTTCAGATAATAACTCAACTTCTTTTGTTTCAATTTCTAATCCTGTTTCGTCTACAGAAGAAAAACTCAGTGAGATTGAAAACAGTATCTGTAATAACAATGATACTAGTATAATAGATTCTGAAGATTTGTATAATTTATCTAATAATATTGAATTAAACTCTATGCAGTCAGTAGAGCATTTGAATATTAGATCCAAGATAAAGGAAATAAAAGAAAAAATTCTTAACGGTATTGACGAACTATATCATGACCCCGAAATTCACCAAAAAGTAATATACAGAAGCTCCAATGTTAGATATCCTTCAAATACTTATAAATCTGATGAATTGCCAGTGGTTAGGATTCCTATAGTAAAATATGAACATAATATGATCTAACTTTATAATACTTCTATTTATACTTAAATTCAATTTTTTATATAGAATATACAAAACAAATTAAAGAATATCCACAACCTTAATGTTAGAAATTTCATCTAAGACATCAGGTTCGATTTCCATCATAAAATCTGTATTCGGATTTGACAAATAAGAATTGGCAGCATAGTTATCAAATGACAATATATCACTGTAATTATTTTCTTGTTTTTCACTAACGGATGGAATGGGCGGAGGCGTAGGCAAATTTAAAGGGTATTGATTAACAGCATTGACACTGTTAAATCCACTTGTAGTTAGTTGCGGATATTTAATATTTGGTTTGTTTTCGGGTTCTACTAAGGGTTGTTTAACACTTTCAAGAAGATTTTGTTTGTTAATGCCAATATCTGGATAAGCGTTAGTGCTTTTATATGAACCTTGCATTTCTAACTTATTATCAGATTCGACTAGTGACTGATTTACATTATTGAATTGATATTGATTAGCTTGACTAACTTCAATAAAAGTATTAAAGTTATGTTCTTGCTCAACTATTTCGGGTACGTTTTTAGCTTCATTATCTAATTCAAGTTCAATGTTAAATGAATCTTGATATTGCATAGTATCATTAGCATTTCTTTTTTGTTGGGGTTCGAATTTAGGTTTTTTTTCTGAGATTAATAAATTTACATTATTAGAGCAAAGTCGTTCAGAATTTTTAACCTCAATATTAGCTGGCGGTTGTTGAAGTTGAGACGATACAAATTCTGTTGATTGTTTTCTTGATGTCGATAAACTACCTGCGGTTTTAGCTAAAGGAAGAGTGTAGTATGATAATCCTTGTGAATGAGCAGAATCATTAAGTGTAGTACTTGTGCTGTTTGAATTATTGTTTGATTGTTGGCCTATGGGTTTAGTATGGTTATTGAAATCAAAGAATGGTGGAGGAGGAGGTGGTGGTGGCGGCGGCATTCTCTGACCTTGAGGAAAACAATTAGGATTTTGATTTGAGGGGATTCTGTACAGATCATTATATGTTGGTGGTGGTGGAATATTAGGTTTAATAATTTGCTCTGTATTTTTCGGGTATGAAGAATTAGATAAACTGGAGTTGCAATTTTTTTCCGAAAAACATTTTGACTCATTTGTTAAATCATCTGCAACCTTTTTTTCCTTACATGGAATTGATAAATCAATCTCATCATTTTTAAAACCTAATTCATTAATAACTTCTTTTTTTTCTTTAATTTCGGTCACATTATCAGCTTTTATCACTGGTTCAATTTCAATGTTAAATGAATCTGGATATTGCGTAATATCATTATCGATTTTTTGTTGTCGAGGTTCAAGTTTAGGCTTTTTTTCGGGAATTGGTGAAGTTACATTATTAGGCCCATGTTGTTCAAAATTTTTAACCTCAATATTAGCTGGTGGTTGTTGAAGTTGAGATGATACAAATTCTGTTGATTGTTTTCTTGAGGCCGATAAACTATCTGCGTTTTTTACCAATAACATTTTGTAGAATGCGAGTCCTTGTGAATGAGTAGAAGTATTGAGTTCAGAATTTTTGTTATTTGGAAAGTTTTCCGTTTGTTGATTTAAAGGTTTAGTAGGGTTTTTAGGATCAGGAAATGGAGGAGGTGGCGGTGGCATTCTTTGATTTTTAGGGAAACAATTAAGGTTTGGATTCGAGGGGATTCTGTAAAGATCATTATATGTTGGTGGTGGAGGAACATTAGGTTTAACAATTCGCTCTGTATTTTTCGGGTATGAAGAATCAGATAAACTGGAGTTGCAATTATTTTCTGAAAAACATTTTGACTCATTTGTTAAATCATCTGCAACCTTTTTTTCCTTAGATGGAATTGATAAATCAATCTCATCATTTTTAAAACCTAAATCATTAACAACTTCTCTTTTCTCTTTATTTATTGTTGGTACGGGTTTTTTCACATATTCATTGTTATTTTCTTGATCAGAATTTACAACTACTTTCTTGGGCTGTGCGTGATGCATTACCTGATTAGAAGATTTTTCAGAATTATTTTTATTAATGTTTAAAGAAAGATCCTTTCTAATATCAACATGCTCAAGTGGAACTTTAGGATTTATAGTTATATTTTTTATTCCACAGTTAGGGCATTTGTTGATATCTTCAGGTAATTTATCTTTTTCTTTTTTAGCATCTAAAATAATCTTGTTTACTCTTAGCTCACAGGATGGAACTTTTCTTGTGATAATCATGTTTTCAATCATTTCCTTCGCAGAATCAAGATAGTAGTCTTCAATACCAGGATATGTTTCAATAGTTTTGCATGATATATCAAAAACTTTATTTGCCCTTATTGTATCAGAAAATTCTCTCAGTCCATAAGCAAGGTCGTATAAATCATTCGCCTGATATTTACATTGAAACTTATCTAATATTATTCCTATAATTTCAAATTGTTTTATCACGGATTCAAGAATAGAATAATGCTCAACATTCCTTCTCATATTTGTTATAAAAGAGCTTGATATTAAATAATCTAATTTATCTTCAAGTTCTATTAACTTTTGCGATAATTTTGGAATGTCATCGTTTCTTTTTTCATTTTTAGTATTCAAGTTAAACAACAGCTGTTTGAACATATGATTTTGCTCAGCTAAAATAGTATTAGAAAATTTCGAAAATCTTTCGTCTAAATCTTTTTTTAAATCAAAGGACATATTGTTCGATTGAATATTAACCGTTTTATTGATAGTTGGATTTCTATTAACTGAATAAGAATTTATGTTTACATCCGGTTTAACATGGTCATGCTTTACTACATTATTAACAAAGTTTTCTTTATTGAAACGATTTGAGTTTACACTCTTTCGTTGTCTTGAGTACACAAGCATATACGAAGTGAATTTTCTGTACAAAAATTCTAGTTCGAAAATAAGGAGGAATAAACCAAATGGGATCATTGTTCTAAGAAATAATTGAATGCCAATATGAAAATGATAGTCCTCTAATTTGATATATCGTTTGTTAGTTTGATAGCGTTGAAAAAAATTATTTAAGTTTAATACAGTAATGTTAATAGTACCTGCGAGCATCAAAAGAATTTTTGTTTCAAAGTTTAAATAGCTTTGTACCACTTTATTAACTAAACTATTTTTATACGATAATATTATCTGATAAATCGTAAGGTTTTTGAGTTTATCTTTAAACATATTCGATTTCATTTGATAAAACATGGATTTTATTTTATTAGAATGTGTTCGAACTTTGCCATCGCTAATTATTGATTCTGGCACACTTTCAACCAATTTTGACTTAGTTAAATTATTAGCTACAGAATGTAAATTAGCTGATTGTAGTTTGACCTGAGTCTTCGAAAAAGTAGTATATTCATTTGCTTTGCTATTAGTTACATTTTTACCTTTTATGTTTTTTCGTTGATTTAAAAGATCTAAATTATTAGTATAATCAACATTAGCAGTTGGCATTGCACCTAAATGATCTAAATATTCATCTTCTATGGAAACAGTAGTTTTTTTTAAATTCATGCTACTAAGCTTATTTAAATCTTCCTTCACAGATCTGATATTAGAATTAAGATTATTTACATTTAAATTCGATTCCAAGATATTTTCAACTACATTATTAGCATTTTTTACATGGTTCAGTTCGGAATCAACAATTCCAAGATTTATGTTAATATTTTCCTTGTTCGTAGTTGATTTACCCCCATTTTTATCGATATTGATAGTGTTTACATTAAATTCATTAACATTTACATAATCGACGCTAACAGGTGGATCTAATGGTAGTGTTTCATTACGATCATAATAATGCGCATAGTTATCATAATTCTTTCTAGATTCTATTGAATTTATATTGGATTCATTTGTTATATTATCATTTAATTTTTCTAACTCATTAATGTAAACGCCAGTAGTACCCTCGACATGATTCGCACAATATTTATTTGGTTCAAAAAAACTCAAATCATTTTCTAAGTTTTTTATTTTATTTGCTATTTCACTTGAATCTACTGGATTTGTCATACCGTCGATATTTTCATGTTTAGTATCAAATAAGTATGCATCTTTAACTTGATTAGTATCTTCGTCCATTGATATATACTTATTGTCTTTATTTACATATTCATCAGTTCCAAACGTTTCATTATAACTTTTTCCTGAATCCGAATATTGGGATTCAGATGTATCAATTCTATTTTTATAAATTGAATATGCTTTATCTGTAGTCGTTATAAAATAATTTCTAAGTACGTCATTAATAGCATATTCTGGTAATTTATAACAAATATTAAATTGATTTTGGGTATTATCGTTTTCTAGTTTTAATATTTTTGTAGAAAAATTCGGTGATTCGTTTAAACGTGATTTTGTAACCGATACAACGTAATCTAGTAGATCATAAGCAAACGACTGAAAGATTAAATATACGATTATAGTATTCATCTTTTAAAGGTTACTTTCGCTATGGTTCTTATTTAATTGAAATAATTAATGAACTACAAACACAACTCACATGATTAGGTTTTCCAACATTATTAAGTGCGCAATAAAACGTAAAATGTATACATTTTTTTATAATAAATCAATATTTTTTAGTTTTCCTATAAAATGTGTATATATAATTTTATTATATTAAAATAATCGAAACGTTTTATTCGTTTCATATGTGAATATTCCCATATCTTAATTTTTTTTCTAATAACAATTTATAACTTGAAGTTATCCATCATTAGAGATGACACAATTATTTTTACATGTCAGAAAAGGATCAAATAAATATTTTATACCTCACATTAGCTTTCTTAACTCCAATTGAACAAGTTATTATTATCAAAAAAATAGCAAAAAAATATCATCATAAATTCCGAAATCTTCTTTTAACTAATTGTTGTAAGGCCAACCACGATTTTATTATTCAATGTTCGACAGAAGTTTCAGATTATTTGTTAAATTGCTGGATAAACTCTATAAATGACAAAAAAATTATATTTAAACAAACTCAAACAAAAATATCAAAAAATTATACTTGTCCTTATTATTTTTTAGTTTTAGAATCACTAAATTTGGAAAAGTATTACTTACTTAGAAGCTTTTTACATTACTATAAATCTGCTAGTTTTGAACTTAAATCTCAAATACATTTCATTTCAGAAATAGTTTATTTCTGTTTATTAGATGAACGTCTTGTAATTGTTAATATTTACTCAAAGAACGAACTCAATATTCAAACAGCATATATACTGCATTTATCTAAGGTTTTTTACGAACATTTACGAGTAAATTTTTTTAGAAACAGTATAAATTTTCATTTCAAATGTTTTCTACCATCATTAAAATGTATCAGATATATTTTGCTAAGAAAATACACTAAAAAATCATACAAAATAAAACAAAACAAGTTAGAAATCTTAATATCTCTCTTTGTAAGTTCTCATTTTAACGATTTCATGCATATTTTATCTTATTTCGTTAATCCGAATGCTACGTATACAGAATATATTAGATTGATATATGAATTATCGCAAAAATATTACGAATTATATGCGCTAGTCAATAAAAAATCTAATAAAATATCTAGTATTATTCAGAAGAGTTTTTCGAAACAATTTCTAACTAATTTGCAGACTGGAAATATTTTATTTGAATTTGACCATGAAATAAACAACTTCTTGGCAATTATTGACATTGAAAATTTCAAATTTTTGAAACTAATATTAAGACAAACCACTATATTGATAAATGGATTATTGGTCAGATCGGATTTCAGTCCGAAATCAAATTTTGATGATCTTTGTTTTAATAATGAAAAAGTTTATTTTTCCAAAAAATATGTCAACCAATCAGAATTTAATATCTTTAATCAAGAAGAAAATAATGATCAGATCGATGTTAATTTCATTCAACTCCTTTGGAGAAAATTAAATAACATTCGAACGTTAGACAAATTTAAACTTAATATTTATAAGATGGTAATAAAAAATCTGCGTAATAAATATGCATACTATCGTCATTACTTTAATGTCGATTTTAAATCATAAAATTTTATGTAATTATATATACAAACAGTATTATTATATTACGAAAAATTAAAAAAAAAAAAACAATACAACAACTAGCTTCGATAGTAGGAATTAAATTTAAGTCATTATATCATGAGCGATTATAATTAATTTTATTGCTGTATTCGAAGCATGTACTCAATTAAAACATAATACAGTGTTAAAAAATATAAAAATTCCTTCATTAAACAATGCAATAAGTTAACATTTTAAAGCTTTGTTAATAATAAGTTTTTTCTTTGGAACGAAGTGATCGTACTGATAATAATTTGGAGTCATATTCATAGTATTGATAAATTCTATGTACTCTGAAGGTATTTCTGCTGGAACCCATATTATGTTTTTGGGTGATTTCTCTTTTGTTGCCGTTTGTTCATTAATACAAGTATTAAATACAGCACCTACAAAACTTCCAAGCAAAAATTTAGCTCCATTCGCAATTTTTGAACCGAAACTTAATCCTGATAGAATCCAGCGATCATTTGTCATTAGTCAATGTGTAAACGTTACTGGATATAAAATAGATAAACTAGCACCTTAGCACCTCTTTAAAAAAATATATATAAAAGCGATCAAGAAGTTCTTACTCAAGTTGTTTATTTAAGAACTTTTTAATAGCTATATAGCATTCTTCAAGTGATTTAGAATTACCGTGTTCTTCTTCAAACTTAATCCATTTTTCAAAAAGCGGTTTTAATTTCGTTGGATTTATTTTAGTTTCAAATAATTTGTAAAATAGGTTCCTGATATATATTTTGTCACGTTTATCCTTAATATTTTTTAATAATAAGTCGATGTATAAATTCCAAATATCAGATCTTTTTGGTTTGTCGTTTAATAATTGCTCAAATAAAGATTTGGAAAGTTCACTTGAGCCAAACAGATATTCGAGTCGTGCTTGTTTAACATGCAGAGTTAAATAATCTGCGGGGCTGAGATGTTTTTTCGCGTTGTTGAGATGTGAATTAATACTGTCTCTGTTCAAAACAATGCCGATCTTATATAAACAGACGAAAAATGAAATCCAAGTTTTGAGAGATTTCTGTTTTTTCAATATTTTTTCTGTAACCATATCTAACAGTTCTTGTTTGCCGGATTCACACAGCTGATTTAACACGTGGGGATATATAATATCTGGATCACAAAATTGATAAGCTTCTTGTAATAAAGTTTCAAAAAGGGTATTTAACGGTGAAAAACTGATAACCGCATTTAAAATACCTTTCCACAATATGATGCGTTCAGTCATGTTTTCTAATGGAATTGAGTCAAATCCTTTTTTTGCAATGTTTATCGCCTGCTCGTACTGTCCATTGTCTAAGTAGTAAGCCATGAAATATAGCCAAGATATACCTTTGTCGCCTTCAACGAAAACCAATTTTTTTAAACCTTCAAGAGACTTTAAATTATTTTCATAAAATTCTTCATTTTTCAATTTATCGATGCTTTGAGGGTTAATTCTATCAAGTAAAAGTTGCTCTTTTTGTTTTGAAATTTCTTTTTCTGCTTGGAAATCATGCGAAACAAACATTTCACTGACTGGTTCCGCCAAAGTAAGAGAATTTGTACTAGTTTCTTGTTCGGAATCAGATATATCGGAAATTTCTGAAAAATTTTCATCCCCGGAGTTTTCTGATTTACTGACAGCTTCTACATCATCTTTATCTAACTTAGAAAAAATACGATCCTCGGCAACTTCACCAGCTAAATCTTGATTATTTACGTCAATGTCCTTGAGTAACACATAAACTTTCTTCTTTTTTTCGTTAATTGAAAGTATTTTGCACAAAACCTTGTCTCCTTTTTCATATTTAGTTTTGTCGGTGATGTTATCAGAAATATTATTGTTTGTACACAAAACATCGATTGGTAACGAATTTTCTAAAGTGATTATAATTCCAAAGTCGAAAATACCTTTAATTAAGCCTGGTAGTAGTTGCCCAATTTCTATATTATCCCAGTTAACAATTCCATTTTCATTTTTTTTTGTTGGAAATAAAGAAACTTCGACAGTCATTAATTTTGGATCTAAACTGATTATTGTTAAATTTTTAACCATCATGCCCATACCGAATAAAGTTTTTAATTCACTAAGAACAATTTTTCCATCCTTCTTACTTGCAATATATTCGTCATATTTGTAACCGGTTATGTTTCTAAACATCAACCGAGCTACTACAGAGTCAGATATATTAATTAAAATTCCTTTTGTCGAAACGTATTTTATTATTCCATCACAAATATCGTTTACATTGAAATCGCAAAACTGTTTTGTAGACTGACGCAGTTTATTCGGCGGTAGAGACAATCCTACTCGTAATAGTATTCTATGGGGAATACTAGGAGTTTCTAAAAACCCTAGTACTTCAACTGTCATAGGGTCGTTTCTATTAAAATTTGCAAACACATTCTTTCCATCATTTTCATCTTTGATCAATTCAACGGCACTAAAAGAAGCAAGAATATTATAATCCAGTTTAATGTACATTACCGTTTCTATTTTACTAAAGTAACAGACTCTGCCTGTAATAGTTTTTCCTGCTGGAAGTAGTTCGAGTACTTTATCTTTAAGTTCCGTCAACTCAAGGGTTTCATCAATGAAAAAATCTTCAGTCTTGTTTTTTGAACTAATCGATTTCTCTGATGGCTTGAAAAAAGATGCAAAACGAAGTATCTTGTTATTGTCAGAAACGTCCACCAATGTATTAGTAATGTAAAGTTTTAAAATAGAACCTATTGAGTAACGCTTTAAAGATACAATGAGCGTCTTTGCCTCGTCTAACGATATGCCAATAAAAATCTCAGGTTCAAATTTGATGATTTCTTGATAAGATAAAAGAACTAAAATATTGTTAAACGTTTTACATAAAAGCCCGTTCGGTAACTGTTGAATTATCATGTATGTCATACAACTTCCAATAAAAGGCTGCCTGACAAAAGCTTGAATTTCATCTTTAGTTAGTTTCAAAAAAGCAGATTTGTGTGTTAACTTTGCAGAATTACGTTCAAAGTCTAACTCAAATATCTTGCAAGGTATGACTTGGCCTACTTTGAATTTTCCCTGCGGCATAGATGATATCGCTGTATCTAGCAGATGATGCTTGGAAATAACACCTTTGAAAGTGTCATGGAACTTGACAAAAATGTAGTTGTCATCTTTATTGGTTATCGTTGACATCACATCATCTCCAACAGAAAATTCGCATAAGGCATGGAAAGCTGTTGACTTAGTTGACTGTTCAAACATAGTAGCTTTGCCAATGAAAGAAAACAAATTTACAGATATCACTCTGAATGTCAGTATGGAATCGCTGTTCAGTGCAGCTATTGTTGCTTCAGGTGTTTTATTAAAAATGAGTTTTTTAGGACAAAAAGCAATAAATCTGGAACTATTTTCTTTTCCTTCTTCTGAAGTCTCTTCAGCATCGTTGGAAAGTATAAATATTCCTGCTTTTTGTCTTGCTGTTATTACTCTACCGTTGTGTATTAATTGTTTTTTAAATTCTTTGTCAAGATAAGCTTTTAGTAGATTTGATGGATTGTTTAGCTTTACAACATTCACCAAACTAGACAGTGTGTAAGTGAATTCATCATTATTATCCACTTCGACACCGATAATTCTAGCGTACAAAAAATTATTTTTTAATCTGTAAAAATTTGGCGACTCTAAAATGGAATCGCTGTTTGACCCGAGATTCGGATATTGCTTGAACAAATTAGAATTTAAATCTTCTTCAGAATCCAACTCTAAAATTGGATTATGAACTAAAGTGTTAGATATAGACCCTTTCAAGAAGTTGCAGAAAGTTACAGAAATAGATGAAACTGTACTGGGAAAATATTTTGATAGATTCGTGACGACACAAGCTGTTTTTTTTTTTTTTTTGTGCGGAATTCCTTGTTCATCGCTTTGATTTTCAGTAAATTCATGTATTTCCTCGACTTTACATTCTATTAACTGCCCAGCACATAAGGAAGAAGAGGTTATATCAGTAGCATAATTTAAAAATCGGTTTGAATCATTTGAACAAACTAAAAGTTTTTGGTTTGCCTTGTAATCAAGACAAGTAACTAATGCTATTTCTCCCACCACGTATTCTTTAGTGGTTTCATTGTACTTTTTTACAAACACCTTTATGTCGTGGTCAACGGTCAAGTTGCCTAGAGAGGCAGTCCAACCATAGTCTTCAATCGAAATAATTTCAACAGGAAAAAGCTGGTTCTTGCTTGGCAAGTTTGAAATCGAGAAAGCTGAATTTATGTCAGAAACGTCACCAGATAAATTGACCAATTTTTCAGTGCTCGTTGGTAGTGATATTACTTTTACAACTACGAAATCACCCACTTGTTTTTGACACCATGAGTCTTTATTTGCGTTGTTAAACCGTAGAAACCCAACTTTATTAGTAGGTAGGTCAACTGTCCAGCCATTGTAAAGCTTTGAGTGCAATGTTCCTAAGTAACATTGACTTTTCATATCACATTGTCTAATAACAGAAAAATATTTTGTTTCTAAAAAATTTTTTTGGATAATAACTTACGTCAATTTATTGCAAATTTATTTTGCAATAAAATCTTTTAACAAAAATAAATCTCCATATAGTTGTGCTTTTGTTGTCTTTATTAATAAATTGTAATATATGCTTAGTCGCTGTTAATGAGTATTAATGTCTTTTACATAAAATACGTTAGCTTGTCTGTAGATGAAGATTCGATTGTCAGCTTACTCAACACCTTACTTGTCGATGAGCATCGAACTTGCAAGGACTTCATAGAAAAAATTTTTATTCACTAGTAAGTAATTGTAATAAGTATTTTTAGCTATCCAAATACACAAATTAGATATGCCAAAATAATGTTAAAAACGGTTGAATCGTTTAACATTGCGTCTACTATTGCAGGAAAATTTCTCAATGGAGTCATTATCAAAGTTGTTTTTCGAGACCCAGCTCAAGCTTTACAAACCGCAAACAATCTAGAAAACTACTCCACTCTTATATTTTACAATATACCGAATACTTGGAATGAGTTACAGTTTTATTCTTATTTCCATAAAACGCTCCATCTCGAATCTCCTATAAAAATAAAATTTGATTCGACGCCTAAAAATGACAAAGTATGCATAGCAACGTTTAGTAACCAGATAATAGCTGAAGCAATTTTTAAAGCTGTGCACGAAAACAAAAAATTAGATCCGAACGATCCCATACAGTAAGTTTCATTTAAAATAAAATTATTTGCAGAGTCGAATTTTCTAATTATGCTTTAAGAATGCCTAAAAATGACTCAAACAATGAAGATAAAGTCTCAAATTTATTTAACACCCCTATTGCTTTTCAGGGAATTAAGAAATTTGACTTAGCAAGACAAAAAAAAGAATTTTTAAGTAAACTACAAATTGTTGAAGATGATATTTGCAAAAGAAAAAACTTAAAATCGTAAATGAAAATATCTAGTTAAGCTGTTTTAATAATTAACAAGACTAGTGATATTGTATTCTAAAGCTGCGTCACAATCAACCATAGATATCTTATTATCTTCGTTTTTGTTTAAACATAAACCTGTGTATGTGTTTTTCAACTTGTATCCGTCTAGCTGCCATATAATGTTATTGGCAGTTTTAAGACATTTTGTAAACTTGGCTTTTTCATTCAAACATAAGTTTTCTTCTGACGACGGGACTATGTAAAACTGCGTTGAATCTTTACTCCTTATAAGGACCCAGTTTTGCGTGCCTTTCAAGCCATGACACCAGTAAAAACCTACTTGACTGTCTTCTCTTGCACTACTCATAGTATCTAAACAATCTCCGGCTGAGCGGATTTCAACACTACCAATAAGATCTTTTGGCTGAATATTGTGCACAACTAAATCGGTAAAAACTGTGTCCATATCATCGGCTTGAACGATATTAGTTAAAAACCAGGTAAATGGTTTACACTGCTTGTTTTTCTTAAACTCTTCAATTTCTTTGGTATCTTGTACAAGGTCTGTTGTATCTCCAATGAAATATTCAGAAATTTTTTTATAATCGTCAAGCCAATTCTTGGCTGTTCTAAGTTTGTTATACAGTAAAGCTTTGTCTGGACTTGTGTATCCAATTCCTTCTGTTCTGTAAATGTGATACGTTAGAGAGCATGGGGCGCAGTATATAGCACTGCCACACATCCAGTGACGCAATCCAATTTCAACATTTTCAGCACCCCACATGGTGAATTTTTCATCATATCCTCCCATGTCAAAAAAGTGATCTTTGTAAACTGTGAAAATACCTCCCGCAATAACAGGGCTTCGTACTGGTTCGGTTGACTTGTATTCTGTTAAACTGCTTCTTTCCACAATTCCCCATTTGAATGATACTTGACATCCTATTCCCGTGTTCGTGTTATAATCAAAAGTGACAGCGTCTATGGATGGAATTTGAGGGACAACGATTGATTTAGGTTTTTCAACCAAAATCTCGAGCATATGTTCTAACCAACCCACGTTCATTTCCATGTGACTATCAACTATAACAATTACATCGGCTATAGCTTGTCGAATACCTGCGAGTCTAGCCTGAACTAATCCTCTACGGTGGGGAAGTCTTAACAGCTTAACTTTGGGAAGATGCTGAATGTAAAATTTGATCAAAGCCTCATAGTCTAAGTTTTCTGGTGCTGATTGATCAAAAGTCGGGCCAAGAACGTAATTACTATTGTCATCAACGAGTAAAATTTCTGTTATCAACTCAGGAGGAGTGTTGTTAAGAATGCTGTGTACTGTTCTCATCAAAGTGCTAAAAGGCTCATTATAGTAGGTAATGATAATCGAAACCGGTGGCAATTTTGAATAATCAAACTGTTTTTTTTTGCAAATTTCAGTTCTTTTATCTATTGGAAGTCGACTTAATGGCAAGGAATCACTTAGTTTTTGGTAGAAACCACCGACTTGCAATTCTTTTTTTCGCTCAATACCAGTTTTTTTAAGTGGTGGTGGTGTTGGCTTGGGTTTGTACAAAGGCTGACCGTCCATTTGGAACCCTATCTTACCGTGCATTTCCTCTGGAGTTTGGTTTGGGCTGACAATAAGAGAATTGAACCATTTTTCAGACCCTACGGGGTGATCAATTTTTCTGTTTAGGTCAAATTTTATTCTTTTCTGATTTACTCCGTACAGTAATTGAAATTTGTCTTTAATCTCTGACCCGAAATGATCTAGATTAATTTGGGGAACTCTATTCATTGATCCTTTGATTTCAGGGTAGTAGTTTTTGTTCTCAAAATAAGAGTTTGCTGACACAAATGAAAATAGCAAACAAAGTTTATGATACATATTCAACAACTAACAATGATTATAAGAGTTTCACCTTCTACTATTTCTAATCCGTCTGATTCAGTCTCTAGATTGGAAAATTTTTTTTTTCAACGAATAGAGTTCGTTGTTATCTGATTTCTTTCCTGACCCAAAAAATAGAAAACATTTCTACCTAGTTAAATACAATAGAGTGTGTTTAATTTTCAATTTTTCGTGTCGACAATATACTAAAGATGCATATATTTTCTTTGTTTAGTAGAAATAAAATTTATAATTTGTGTTCGGTGCACGAGATTTTTTTTACTTTTGTATCTAGTCAGTCTTTTTTGACAAAGAAATATTTTGTCAATTATTGGTTTAAACATTTTGAATGTGGTATGGATATTATTTAGTGTTAGAAGATGAAGTCACATTTCTTCGTCGATTTCGCTTGATAAACAAATTTTCTGTCAAACATGAGTACTTACTTGACAATGCCGCAATATTGATAATTTTTGTGAACAAAGAAATTAGAAGTAGATATATTAAAGAACTATACGAAGTGTTTCGTGCCCTAATTAAAGAAAGCACAGCTTTATTGGTGGTTCCTGTTCCTGATATCAAGCTTAAGATGGACAGCAGCGATAAGCATGATGCTGTTTGCAGCTCAGATTGCTCTATGTGTAATTTTACTCCTGATGTGATGATAACAAAAATTGTCAAAGAATTGATGATGGGAATGAATACGCTAGCATGGAAAAACATAATGGTTATTCAAGTTACGAAAATGCAAGTGGAAGAATTATCGATTGCCAAAATCTACGTCAAATATAAATTGAACGAGTTGAGCCAGAATGTAATGCTGCGTATTGCGTCAAAACATTCGAATCGATATACGCACGAAAAATATAACCACATCGCTTTGGGTGGCTCTTTTGACGGATTACATCCTGGACATTATTTACTACTTTTAGCGTTGATACAAAGACTGGATTTGAATAGTTCTAACGAACTATCAATCAATATAGGGATAATGCCAGACACAACTGTTCAGGCAAAAAGTCGAAAAAAAGCTATAGTTAGCTATACGTTTAACACGCGTTACTATATGGTGCGAGAAATGATTAGACAAATTCTTAATCTCTATGAATACACCGTTGACGTAACTTTTAAAAAGTTTACTAAAAAGAGCTCGCCCACAATTAATTTGCTTATCGAAAAACTTGACGAACACGGTATTAGCCCGATTGGTACTATGGAAAATATACAAGCTTTGATTGTTTCTGAAGAAACAATCAAAGGAGGCTTATATGTAAATAATGTACGTAAACAACAAAACTTACAACCACTTTCAATAATAGTAGAGCCCGTTATAATCGCAACTATAGAAGATTCAAAAAAAATTAAATTATCGAGTACAGCACAGAGAGATTCTTGCTATGCTAAACTAGAACGTTATCCTGTTCTGAAACAAAAACTAAAACAGAAATTAAAATGTCCTGATTTTGACTATTGGCAGGAAGTCTTACGTTCCGTCGTTTTAGAGTATTGTTACGGAGATGATTTGAACGTAGATTTCCGCTTAGACAAAGTTGTTCAAGACAGAATAGAAGCCTTGCTTGCATCGTTTTGAGTCTAATGAACGTTTTATTTTGTATTTTAAAATAATTTTTCAGTTTATAGTTCTATAATAATTTGTAAGTGTAAATTATTAACTAGTATTACTGATAAAATAACAGTTTATGCACTTTTTGATCTTTTTGAACGACTTCACAAATTGGGTTCTTTAAAAATGAATATTTAAACTTAAAAGATTCAGATATAAGAGATTAAATGTTTAATTAACAAGAAACAATTCTTAATTAATGAAGAAAGGCTTACTTAACTTCAATCAATTCTGATACAATCAGTGTTTGCTGGTAGCTCGTCAATTAAATCCTGAAGTTCTTTACCTTCGATGAAAGTAACTTGTTTGGTGCTAGTAGGAATGATGCACAGATGAACAGAGGAGTCTGCAATTTTGTGTTCCATGACCTGTCGCAGAATTTGCAATGCTAGTAGACATGCATCCTTGAGCGTCATTTCGGCTTTGTATTGTTTTTCCAACTCGTTCGTGGCACATTCGTGGCCGGCGCCAAAAGCAGCAGCGTTCCAGCTTCTAATAGTGCCGCTTGGATCAGTGGAAACCAAAACTGGGCCTTCTCTGTCCGTGACGCCGCCGACGAGCATTGAAACTCCAAACGGTCTTGACATTTGTTTTTCTTCAGTTCGAATTCCGCTGAACTGAAGAGACAAGTCGGAAATGCAGTTAACAATGCTTTTAATGGGCATAAGTTCGTTGAAAGAGAACCAGTGGTTCTTGGCTTGGAAACGGGCGTGGTGAATCAAAACATGCGAGTCAGCGATAATACCGCTAATGGCACACGCTACATGTTCGTCTATTTTGCTGATTTTTTTCAAATCTGCAGTGTCTTCCATTAGTTTGTCTTTGATGGCTTTTTCACTAGCTAACACTATTCCTTCCTTGGTTTTAATACCGATGATGGTAGACCCGTGCTAAAAAATAATCGATCATTCACTTACATTGACAGCGTTCAAAGCATATTCGACTTGGTACAATCGTCCTTCTGGAGAAAACGTTGATACACCTCGATCGTATTCGTTTCTAGACAAATAGTGGCTGTTTGTTAACATACTGAGAATTATACATGCTGTTGTGACGACTAAATAACTGAATACGTTAGTATCGCTATTCACTGAAAATGATAATCAAGAAAAATGCTATTTGATTTTATTGAACCAGCACAAATTGAGATTAAAAATAAAAAAATCTGTTAATTGCAAAAATAATTATTTACTTATAATTGGTTATCGAGTAATAGAGAATCAGAGCGGCCGTAGTGATGGGTCGATTTTCGTCTGTACAATAATATAGATTAAAAAATTTTGCATGTACATGTTTTATTTTGTTTATTAACGCTTGTTTAACATATGTCACTCCAATATTCTGATTCGCAAACCACGCATTCCAGCATTGACTTTGCTGAAATAGACCAATTCAACGCTTTGTCAGACCAGATAAGTGAGTATAAAGAAAAAATAGGCGAACTGACCAAAACGAAGGAAGAGTTTAAAGCTAAATCAGACCAAATGTTGGGAGCGATGAAATCTTGTAAACTAAAAGAGCTAAACACGTTGAAAACTGAGTATGAAAAAACAATAGCTCTCGTAGGAGATTTGAAAAAGCTTTTGAAAAGTGAGTTGAACATTATGGAACAACACAACGAACATATCAACGAAGTCATGAATTCGTTCAAGCAAATCACGTGCACCCAAAAGTAGGCTGGATATTTACAGCTTTTTTGCAATTGCTCGTGAAAAATTTCGTCTTACGACTTTTTGAAGTCAGAGTGAAGTGAGAGGCTCGAAAGACACAGGAATTCCAGAGTCAATAAGTTTTTTACGCATAGTATCTTTGATTTGGTCCGCTTCGAGAGTAGTCACAGTTGTGAGTTTTTCTATAATTCGTGGAGTGCGATTTTTCACTTCCTGAATCACGTTAGAAAACGAGTTTTTGGCTGACAAATAACGAAGTGCGGCTTTAGGCATTTCTGTGTAAGTCAGCTTGACTGACGACGCGAGAAAAGGAATTTTCGTGAGCGAGTCTGTAACGGCTTTGGCCACTTCTGGGTTCACAAATTCAATGAAGGCAAAACCTTTTGAGTTTCCTGTCTTCGCACTTCGACATATAATTGTACGTTTGATTGTCCCGAATTGCGAAAAAAATTTTTTTAAATCAGAAATTTCAAGTAAATGCGGTAATTTGTGAAGTCTGACGACGCTTACGGTCGCTAGTTTTTTATTTGCCATTAGTTTTTATTTCTAATGTTAAGTCGTTGTCTGTCTATGGACTGTTATTGTTTTTTGCAGTGTTAACACGACGAAACCACCCAAAAAAAATTTTTATTTCTAAAACTTCTTGTATTTATTTTAACATGAGATAAATTAATATTATTCTTTCTGCAACCTCAGAAAGACATAAATGATAAACGTTATTATCTAATTTGCTTTGGCAAAAAAAAAAAACTAAACTCGCTGATTTGGCACTGAAATAAATGGTTGTAGATAGTTCAGACAACTTAAATCAAGATCTAGATTCACTCATCAAGAATGAAAGAAAAAATAAGCGTCTTACCAAGCAAAAAAGTTCTATAATCGATTCTTCTGCTTACAAAAAAATTATTTATGAAGCCAGCAAAAGCGAGCTAGACACAAAAGCAGAACAAAATGACGATTATTGGTACAGTTCCGACTTGGTTTACAAGCCTAAAACTTTTTCAGACTCTAGAAATGCGAAAAAAAACAGTGATAACGAAATAAAAAACTTGCATTCGCGTTACGAATCTAAACTTTCGAAAAGCAAGATAAACCGTAAAATTAAAGAAAAAACAGATATTGAACTGTCAACAAATAGTGTTTTGATCAGTAAAATGAGTAAACAAAACAACACAACAGCTACGAATTCGGACTTGTTGGTGGAGAATTGTTTTTACTGTTTCCACTTCGACGATTTGGACTTTCTTTCAATCAGAGTGGATTCCAGCTATTCGAATTCGATTACTACTATATATATGCTAAAAGAAATAATAGAGTTTAATTATTTTTTGAAACACTGCAATGAGCGCGTAAACTGTGTACTAAAAAGGTTTGCATCTATCGTACGCGCTCGCTTTGTTGAAAATGACCTAGACGAGTGGGTTGCTGGAAAACACCAGGAATTTAACAGAGAACTTTTATTACATTATCTGGATGTCTCTCCAGACTCAAAATCCATCATGTGCAATAATAAATATCCTTATTTATATAAAACTTTGTTGAGATGTCTTCAGCCAGATGGTTTGATGCTCCGTTTTGCAAACACCAAAAGTGTTTCAAAAAACGAAAATAGTCAGATTATGTCACGTTTACAAACAGAATTGAACGCGGACGTTATTAATATTTACATATCGCTGCTCAAAGAGCACTATGAATCGAAAGAAGTGTATGTATTCGAAACAGATTATATGAACCAGTTCGACATAGCGTTTCAAGCAAAACCAAATCAAGAGGAACAAGTTTTGTTTGACAACATTGTACTACCTTCAAACATGAGTTCATGGAAGTCTGAAATCAAGAGAATCATGGCTAGCTTGAAAGTGAGGGAAAAGTGCATTGAAGTCTTTGAACGTTTACACAAATATCTGCAGCGAGCAAACGTAAATTTAGACGACTATTCACTCCTTTGTTTTCCTTACAATTATTTTTCCGTGCATTGGATATTATTGGTTGCTGACGTGAAAAACAAAAAGGTGTATTGGCTCGATTCCACTCAGTCGCAATACTCTGCTGGTGTGCGAAAACTGCTTTCCAATAGTGAGTATGGGCTTCGATTTTCACTTTCTGCCGCAGAACAAGACATCGCGTTGCGGCCAGGATTCGCTGTAATAGAATATTTGGTTAAATTTGTTCTCTATTATAAGTCAAAGCGTGAAAAAGATTTTGATTATGAGCTCACTGCTTGGAAAAAAATAGTGGTATCCGATTTGCCTCAACAAAACGCGGGCTCTCTAGATTGCGGAGTTTTTATGTGTCAATACATCAGGTGTGTTTTAAAATACCTGGATCCAACTAAATTCGACTTCGTTGCTGAAGATATAAGTAAAATTAAAGAAGGTATGATTTTGAGTCTGGGAGCTGGAAAAATATTTAATTCTTTGGATGAACTAAACAGCCACAAGCCCGAGGTAATGAACGACTCTAACTATAGCTCTAACGACGATAGTGATAACCTTGTTGACGAAGAAGTGATAGCAGACTGATAAGTTAGTGCATAAAGTCGTGCGGGTATTTTTCTTTCTTTTATAATTTAATAAATGTATTAGGTAGTAATTTTTGGCTTATAATTTGAATTTTCATTTAACAGACACAAGAAATGAGTTGAAACCGCATTTTATGGCGTTTAACCCAGTAATATCATTTATTCTTGAATTAGCTAAAGAAAAAAGTTTGTATGGCGAATTATCGCTGGAGATTTTCGCCAAATGCGACGAAATTACCTATGATTACTTGGAAGAACTGTACAATAAACACTCGACAGATATTACTGATATTTTAGCTTTTATTACTACGTTTGTGACCTATTCATCTTTTTTGTCTGTTAATTTTTGCAGTCGCTTAATCCAGCTATTGTTTGTCTTGCTTAATGCGGTCGTACTGCAACCAGACGGAGACAACTTTATCGGTGAGCAATGGTGTGTAATTATTGTTCATTTCATGCGAAATTTGACGGTCGGTTTGGCTCATTTCGATCTGATTTCTAGTTTTGTCGACTGTCTATTGTTGAATGCTGTTAGCTTGTGCAAAGCTATTGAGACATTTAGGCTGTCGAATAAACCGTTATTTCTTTTGGAAATGATCTGTTTTCATTTATTGAACTACCATATCAGTTACAAACGCAAGGACATTTTGACAACTAAAATCAACAAGCTTTTTGGCTTGTTTTCTGAAAACTTCCTGTATCCAAAGTACCACGTTTTGTTTCAATCTAATTTGAACAAACTCGGCCCAGACTCGAACATTTCTTTGAAAATCGACTCTGCTGAAATTGCTGTGATTCCAGCCTATTATTTCACTCCTTTCTTGTTCTCGCGAGCAGTCATAAGCGTGCTTAGGCAAGACATTTCTGAAACAAAACTGGACTCACAACTCTTAGTTAAGTACGAAAATCTTCAGTCTGAAACCACAATTTCTAATCAAGTCTTTATACATTTGACAAGAGGATTTCCTTTGGAGCTTTTTTTGCTCTCAAAAACTTTTTATCACGCGAACTTTACACAGCTAGAATATATCTACTACCTAGATAACTTTTTTTACCGAAATGACATTAGAAATTTTAAGTTATGGTGGAAGGGAGTTCCAACACATCTGTCTTGTCTCACGCTCTATCAATGTACAGTCCCTATGCGGGCAGAGCTGATGTACAATTTCTACTTCTGGAGTGGAGGCGAAGTTTTTAAATTAGATACAGTCCACAATAATGCTGAAATTCGCCGAAATTTTTACGCCCAATGCAAAATCTTGTTGGAAGGTTCCTTGTTCCATTTTCATAGTTTAACGGAACATTTGAGCTCAAACTTGAATAGTTTGTCAAGTTCTTATTCATACGTGATCGAAACTTACCAGAAAAGAATTAAACACCTTATTGACTCTATTTTCAATGGCAGTTGTGATAATGTGTTGACGCAATATAAAAATAGCGCCAATTGTCCGACGCCGGACACACGAAATTTTGTACGAAGTAGCGAGTATCATTTCACATTTATTTTTTTTGAACAGATCGAAAATGTGGTTTACGCTCATCTGTCTAATACGATTAACCCCGTTCAAAACCCTATGGAGACATTTCGAATTTTTGTTTTGTTTGAGTTTTTCCAAACCGTCATTTGTCCGAAAAACAAAAACGAGGGAAACGGCCATTTCATCTCGTTTATCGTCACAATCTTTTTTCATACGTTGTTTATTTTAAACATTAAAAATTGGGACGAAGCGACAAAAAGAAAGTCTGACATTGAAAACGTACTGCTTCAGTTACTGTATTTTATTAAGTCAGAATCCGTCTTAAAGCTAACTAATCTTATTTTTAATGCAGAGTCTGCGATTGAGAATGAGTCTGAGGTTGTGGAAAATGTTTATGTTTGCAATAAAGATAATTTGCACGAATATTTTACGCCATCTAATTTGCTCGACTCTATTCAAGCTCTTAGAGACCCTATAAACAACCTATCTCTTATTCAAGGTCTGAGCCTTATCAACACAAAGGCCAACTCGCTCGATTATTGCAAATTGTTGAAAGGATTAAATTTTATTAACAGTTTAGTGAATCTGATTGATTTCATTTACGCCGTGAATCAAAACTATGTTTGGCAATACACGCGTTCTGTAGCTAAGAACCAAACAGAAATATATAAAATCTGGTACGAATGCTTGAAGTATAGCATATCTACCAAACAAACGATATTCTCGGCTTCAATGCTAGACCAGTTCCCAAAACTCGATGCAATTCAGCTTCTTGCTAATGTTCTGGCAAACATTTACTACGAACCCGACCTTTCCTCGATTTCTCCATGTATTGCTCGTATACACAGCGTTAAATATAAATTAGTAGAAACCCATTTATTTTTTTCTATGAGTTTCAATTACTTTGCTTGCTTTACACGCGAAAGCTTGATAGAGAATTTAAATACTTTTGCGCACGAAATATCGGTGCAACACAAACAATGTTCCCATAACACTTGTTTATTCGATCTATTCAACTTCCAGACTCAAACGTTCGACGTGAGCTCTTTGCCAGAAGATGCGTCGACGCTCATTCAAGGAATATACAGCATTATTATTGAAAAAATTTTCGAAGAACCAGATAATATTCCTTACTGTGTCCACATACAGAATAACTATTCTAATTATATCCTGTCTAAAATAGACGCGCAAGGAAATCTCAAGCGTTTAGTTTTAGATCTCATGTAGATGTACTTAGGCTATACAGCTTCAATTGTTTTTGGCACTGCCAAAAAAATAAAGCGTTCAAATAATTTATTGATTAAATATAATCATAGAAATAAAATTTCATTCGTTTGAAGTCGCCACACTTTGCAGCGCTAAATGTGCAACTATAAGACATCATATCTGTCATGAACGCCACAATGAACAAGCGTAAGTTTGCCTGATTAAGAGTTTGCAGTGATTATTCTTGGAGACGCCAGCGTTGGAAAAACACACTTGGTTATGTCTTTTGCAAAAAAAAAATTGCCTGACAAGCCGTCAGCTACTATTGGAATCGAATTTGAAACGATCGTCGTAAATACTAAGTCGGGCAAACAAAAGTCTTTCTGTATATGGGATACCGCTGGGCAGGAACGCTTTAGGTCTATCACAAAAAGCCATTTCCGCCGAGCTTTAGGCTGTTTTTTGGTGTACGACATTACTGAGCGACAAAGCTACATGAATATTCATCGTTGGCTGTCAGATCTGCGACAATCTGCGCCAGCAGAAATCGTGATCATACTTATTGGAAACAAAATAGATCTTGTTGACGGAGAGAATTTACGAAAAGTTACATACGAAGAAGCCCAACAGTATGCAAATGAAAACGGGCTGTTGTTTTTTGAAACCAGTGCGATTTCGAAACAAAATGTATCAGATACTTTGCTCGCTATGGCAGAGTCAATAGAAGAAAAACAAAAAAACGAAAAATTTAACGATAACAGTATGCGGGACAACCTTTATCGAGAATCTTTTCAGCTGAAAGATACCGAACAGAAGCTAGTCATCTGTTGTGGGTACAAACTAACAAGCATTTAAAACACTTAGTTAATGTGTTCATTGGCTAGTACACATTCACTGGGTGGTGTCAACAACAGAGTATTGGATTTTTAATTATTCTGCGTCTAAGCTGAAACTGGCTTTGTTTGCTGTTACAGAATGAGCGATCACTTCATGTTTTCAGCAGTTCAACTTATAAAATTTAACTGTTATACTACAGTTAGCCAAAGCAGCAAATGGGTATCGCCGAAAACTTGCTCACAGTTTTCCAAACAATGGTTTTAATAAGGAAATTATTTAATCTCTGAAAACAAAGTTTTGTTTAGTCCCATTCGACGAGTTCGCCTCTTGGCGTATTTATCACACACTCTGATAAACAATCTTCTTCTAGCTGCGAGAAAGACAAAGCATCTTGATTTATCATTAACGGAGAAAGAGGCGTGAGGTTTAAACACGAAGGCGAATTTAGCGTTACATTGGGTGTCTGTATCAATGGAGTTTCACAGACATCTTCTCTCCTGCCCATATTTATATTTAAAGTCATCTTTTGTGCTGACTTTTTGCATTGTGATTCTGGGCCCCCATTCATATTCAACTTTAATAGCTTTTGACTTTCTTCCATCTTCATCAGATTTGCGGTCGACTGAATTTCTGGCATTTTATCTATTTCTACTTTTGAAATTTCAAAAGAATCTTTGTGTAGCGTGTGTTTTTTGTCACATGCATCTGACATCTTTTACTGTATGTAGCACAAGAAATTTTCCTAGATAAACTTGTTATATTGTGTTATCAAAGATCGTGTTTGGAAACTTTCTTAAATCATATCTAAATATAAAATAAACATTTTGTATATTTATCAAATTTATCTCAAGTATGCAAAAAAACGTAGCGTAGCGTGAACTTTTTATTTAGCTGTTATAAATGAAAATAAATAATTGATCGCGTGAACACATGAGCAATCAGACAACAGTTCAATCAGATTCGGAACTGAAGTCGTCCAAATTGCATTCTTCGACTAACTTCACTCTATTTCCGTCTTGTTCACAGGTGAAACTAATTTCGCTGGCAGTGTCGTGTAAAGGGGCATGAAATGATAATGGAGTTTCAAATTGATCGTTACTTGACTCTGTGTCAAAAGTTCGTTGATTCTCACGAATACATACTTTTTTGCTTACATGCACATTGCTTGATGCGTGTATTCCGTGGTTATTCATTTTAAGTTGACAATTAGGCATTTTAGGTGATGAAAGGGAGAGTCCGTATTGATCGTGGTGCTTATACGCTGCATTATTGGAATTTTGTTCTGATATTTGATTGTCTGAAATCTGAGTCGAATAGTTAATTTTTTTTGATGTAACCGACTTTTGATTGTCTTTTTTAACAGCATTACCTAAGCATTTTTCTTTTTCTTCGTTTAACCCTAATTCTGTTGAAACACGCTGGTTTTGATTTTTATCCAAAACTTCATTGTTGTTCAAATTTCTGAATTCTTCGTCGGAACTTGATGATAAATTGATTGCATTGTTTGAAATTCGAATTTTTTTACTTTTACGTGACAATACAGCAACATTACTTATATCACTTTTATTTGATAAAGAGTCGATGAGATTTGAAGCTGAAATTTGATATTCAAATGCACTTAAAAGTTCTTCTTCAGATAAAGGGTCATCAAACCTTGGGGAGTTATCTGCTTTTTCCGTTGATGTATCGTTAACCATTACCATTAATTTTTTTGTTTTTCTTCTGCTATTAGGTATAGAAGCGTTGACATCTTTGGCATTTTTTTTTTTGTCGTCGCTAGAAGAAAAATCGAAAAAATCATTAACTTCTATAAATTTCTTCTCCTTCGGTAAAACTATTTCATCGTCACTTGAAGAAGAATCATTGGGAACAGAAGGTTTAATAACAGTTCTTTGTATAGGTTTAACTGGTTCATCATCACTTGAAGAAGACTCATCATGAACTAAATGTTTAATAACAGTTCTTTGTACAGGCTTAACAGGTTCATTATCACTTGAAGAAGAATCATTGTGAACAGAAGGTTTAAAAACAGTTTTTTGTACAGCTTTAACAAGTTCATCATCACTTGATGAAGAATCAACGTGGAGTGAAGATTTAGCTTCAATTCTTTTTACAGGTTTAATTGGTTCGTCATCATAAGAAAGTCTTGCTGGACTACTTTTGATAGATATAGTTATTTCGTCGTCACTTGACAAAGAATCAGAGTTGTTCGAAACATCAAAAGTGGTTTTTCCATCGGGCATTCGTTTTTTGTTTTTAGTAGTAGACTTGGTCTGAACAGTGGTAGTTTTCTGTAGTTTGATTTTAGTAACTGGTAAAATTAAATCTTCATTACTTGATGATGTGTTAAAGTTTATAGTATTATCGTTTTGTTTAAATAAATGTTTTGAAGTTGTTTTATCTGTACCTTCGAACGTATCTATCACTTGGCCATCATTATCAGTTGACGCTTGATTGTTGCTAAATTGATTTTTTTTTGTGTGTGAACCTGTTTTGATAAAATCTAATTGTGAATTTGCAACATTTAGATTATCATCAATTTTCTGTGTATTTTCACCTAGTTTGCGTAAATGCAAATTTGTTATATCATTCTTATTTTTCAGGTTATCAGAAAAAGCACTTGGTGGTTCATCATCTGATGATGAAGAACAATTAACTCGTATTTTTTTCGCTGATGTTGAACCATCCCTAGGGTAACTTGAACTGCATTTTTTCACCTTTGGTATTTTATCGGAAATACATTTGTTCTTATAAGTTTTGGTTTTAGAAACAAAATGATTTGGCTTTGAGTTACCCAAAACCATAAAAAGCTAGGTTTTATATATTAATAAAGCTTAGTACGCTTGATAACTGTAGTTTTATATTCTCAAATAACAAAAAATTTCCTAACAATTAAATTACTGAATTACACTGACTATTTGCAGTCATTAGTAGAGCACTTAATAAATAATTTTTAATTTATTTATTTATTTTTTTGGATTTTCATATTGAATAAAAATAATTAGTTTTGGAACTAAAAAATATCAGATAAAAGTTTTAATATCAGAAAAATCTTAAATGACGAAAAACTAATTGATCTCATTATTGTCCAAATTATCGTCAGAGCATTCAGAAACAATTAGATCTTCGTCGTTTAAAGAATCACTACTCTCGCTATCGAAGTAATAATTAATATAGATGTCATTCTTATTGCCGCTATTCTTGACAATGTATTTGTCTTTTTGAATATAATCATTAGGTTGATCGTTACTGCTGACTATGCAAATCAGGTTGTCATACTCTAAATTTGTAACGTCAACTAGTTCGCTCTGCAGTCTGGAACGTGAATCTTTTTTAATTTCTTCTAGCGTCTCCTTCTTTTTCTCAACAATATCGGCTTTATTCGCATGTATTTGACTGTCAGCACAATCTTTAATTTCTAAAATTGTTTTGTCGGTTTTAGGACTTAAAATGTTCTTTTTTTGTAAATCAAATTTGTTTTCTGAGAATACATTAGACTCAGCATTGTTTAGCTTATCTGTAACGTCTGTATAAAATGATGTCATGACGTATTTTGCATTTTTTGAACGCTCTAGTTTAGCAGTATTCTCTAACTCTTGGGTAGCGCTTGTTTGCACTGATTGATTATTGATATCAGTAATATCTTGTTGAGCCAACTTTGCACTTGGAAATGAAAGATCGAGCAATGTTTCATTGAAAAATTTGTTGCAAGAACCTGTGGTGTTAGAGTACTCTCCAGCGGAGCTTTGAGTTTGTGTAGTGACCTCAGACACGTATTCTTCGAATTTTTTTTGTCTTTTTTTATCTGATACTAAATATTCTGTTGGCAAGTAGTCAGACAACAAGGTTTGACAAGCTACACGTTTTCTGTATTGACGCTTGAGTTTGTTATAATATCCAAATGTTACTGGATGCCTTGAACTGGTAACGTCTGCAGGATAGTACGCTTTAGAAGTTGGCACAAGACTGTTAAAGTAGTCAAAAAACACATTGTTCGCGATCATGAATTTATATAAAGTTAAAACTTCTATTGTGTTCAATGGACCACGAAGTTCTTGTTTACAGGTCATTCTTTTTATTTTGTTTGGTTTTTCATCTTCAAGTGGTTTCGCAATAGTTATTTCCTGGCTCGAAGATAGAGGGATTTGTCCACTAAGCTGCATGAAAGGCGTTCTACTAGCGTCAGTCAACAGTGGAGGTGTTGCGAAATTATATGCGGTTTTAATTTCAACGGGTTCTTCACTCATTTCCGCGAACAAACGTGATAAAATGCTGTCGTCTAATTCGAGTAAACCATCCCAGAATACACGCGAAAGTTCATGAATATTCTTAGGAAGTACAAGTCTTCTAATTTTTCTGACTATCTCATCTTGTTCCACGAGATCTGCGTCTTGACAGTAGTCTTCCAGAATAGGCGTTATCGCTAAACGGTTTTCATTCTCTACAACAATAGTTTTTTTTTTCAAATCAACTTGTTCTGCAAAAGCATAGCTACGGCCCATAGCTATTGGCTGAGATTTTTTGTCGTTGGTCGGAGTTGCTTGACTACTTTTAAATGCCGCTCTGTCTGGCGTTTCCGTGTAAACTTTTGCTTTCGACTGACATTTGGCGATGTTAAAAGTAGAAGGAACGGGATTTCTTAACTTCACAATTGCTGATACATTTTTGCATTCGGACAGCGAGAAAACTTCCTTCTCATCAAATGTAACAGGGTCTTCAAGCATTAAAGAGCGTTCAAAAAGATGGATTTCTAACTTGTCTTTAAACGAATGATAAAAGTCGTTTTTAGAGCATTCTGAATTAAGGAAAATTGAAAACGGTTTATGTTTTGGGATATCAAGTTTGACTGGCATTGTTCCTTTCATGTAGTCTAAAAATATTCGAGACGCATCAGCGGGTCCAAATAGATGACGTTCTCTGTATAATTCAAAGTTTATGTTATTTTCTGCGATTTCGTCTGGAGTGATTGAGAATTCGCTACGCTGTCGACCAATATTTGTGGTATGGTGTTTTTTTGATATTTCGTTGAATGGGTAATTTATCATTCGATCAGACTTTTCAGTCTGGTCAGACCGTACTCTTACAGGTTTCAGTCCTGTCATAAAAAAATCAACATCAGGGTAATCAGTAAATTCAAGGTTTTTTAAGTCTTCGAGCTTAACAAAAGATGGATAGTCCTTTGGATCCGGCACATTTTTGAAAATGTCTTTAGACAAATTGAAATCTGGATAAGAGAATTCCTTGCGGTTTTTATTTGGTTTAAAGCCACTCTCAATGGGAAAAGTTAAAGTTCTAATACGTTCAAAACTATTGCGATTGTTTTCGCATATTCGCTGAGGAAATTTAATTACTTTTTTTACAGAAGACCTTTTATTGCTAACGACAGGGATCGAGTTATCCTTTCGTTTATTATCGGGCGAACTGGTAATAATGCTATTTCTCTGCTTTTGATCCTTGGTATCACTTTTTTTTTGTGACTCAGCTCCTATTACATAGTAATTTTCAAAATAATTATCAGACTCATATGGAACAATTTCCTGAGTAAATTGATTTCCTGCTTCTGATGACTTTTGTAGATAAGCTTGTTTAGCTTTTTCGCCTAAACGCATATATAGCTCGCTCGGGGCGTCTTTGTGAAAATGCTTCAGAGCGAAGTGGATGTTCATTTCGTCGTTACATGTGCAGCACATCCATTTTGTAGTTACTTTTCCTGTGCATAAGTGCTTGGTAAAATCCTTTGGTAATACATAAGCGTGACAATGTTGACACAGAAATTCAGTCATTCAAAGACATTCCTTTTAAAAAGTGAAGAATAACTCTAATGCCAATAAGCATTTTTTTGAATTTGGAGACGGACGTTGTTTATTATAACATTTAAATTTTGGGCTTATAAAAGATTTACATGTAAAAGTTCACTTTTAGCCGAGAAGGGACTATCAACCCGACGTATAAAAACAGAGGTGAGAGTTTTTAAGTTATTTTATACATTTTTGCGGCGGTTAACAATTGTGCCAATAAAATGACAGCTAAAATTTATTCTAATTTTGCTGAAGCGCTGACACACTTGGGTACCTCACATTCAATCAAGGTGTTGGTTGGCAAAACTACAACTTGGACTTACAGACTTGTTTTAAGTTTCTTAAAAACTCTTCAAACATGTCTGTTATAAAAGCGGTGTCTTCAACAAGATCGTGCGGAATTTCGCCAAACTTGTCGTGAATCGCAGTAGAGATGTCTGTGATAAGTTGATTTTGGTCTTTTAGCTCGATTTCAAATTCTATTAGCCCTTGCGAAATCAGTTTGTGTAAGTGGTGGATCAGTTCTGCTAAGGCACTGCTTTGGTTTTCTAATGAGTCGTCGCTTTCGTTCAGTGAGGAGTATCGCTGCAGAGTGTTTTTAAGTATGCTGTCTGTTTCTTTTAACACTATGTTTAATTCTGAAATTATTTCATTCACCATGTTCAAGTCGAATTTTTGTTCCTGACCAGCGACACTTAATTCTGTAATTCGCGCTAGAAGGCTTACGTCGATATCTGACATGGCAACTGTAGTTTCGGCTGCGAATTGAGTTAAGGATTTTCCTTCGAAAAAATTATATCTTTTAATCGCTCTAAGCGATATTCTACTTATTGAAGTGTGAATTTTTTTACTTAAGTCGTTTGGACTTAGATTTTGGTTGTTGTAAGCGACGAAATTAATAATATTGCTTAATTTCAATAGTGTTTGTAAAAACTCACGAAACGCGCCTCCAGAATGCAAAGATAAGCAACAGTTCTGCAAGTAGTTAATGAGTCTTTTGGTCTTAATAATGGTTTCGCCCCTGATTTTGATCAGAGACTCTGTCGAAGAGATCAGTTTTTGAATTAATTTAATTTCTGGAATAAACGAAATATGATACAAAAGTTTGTCCGCTATACTGTATTCTGACAAGTCTTCTATTTCTTTTAATTTTATTTGTTCATCGTGTGAAGGATAAATTTCACTCAATGCTTTAATTATCGTAGGGTGATTTTTCACGAATCGGTAAAACTCTGAGTAGTCGGTACCGTTTGTTTTTATTTTAATAATGTGGTTTGCGGCTTCGTCCAAATTTATGAAGTTGGACTTGCTGTTCTCTATGAAATATTGTATACATTTCATTACTGTGCATATCACAATCTTATTAATATTGGTCAAGTTGTCGTCGTCAAATCCCAGAGCGCGAGTGCAAATCAGTACTTTATGAAGTTTACTCGGGTCTAGAATCGATTTTACCTTAGTTTTCGTAGAGTCATCTTTTTCTTCTTTTACAGCTTGGTGTTCATTCGTAGGAACTAAGTATTTCGTTATTTCTGTCAACACATTTGGTTGAGGCAGTTTACTTATGTCAATATCTGACCAAATTGAAGAGCTTGAACTTTTGTTTTCAATATCAAATAAAATTATGGGCTTCGCCGCTAATGTGGCAGAATTATCACACAAGTAATTGTTCATCTCGGCTATGAATTTTTGTTTTTTTTCATTAGCGGTAGAACGACCTGACTGTGGAATGTTAAGCTTTGCAGAATTACCTGTCGTGTCTAGGAGAGCTTTTGTATAGTGTTTTTTCTTAAGAGGGGGATTTGTTTTCACGAGACTTTTCGGATGCGTCACCAGATTTTTCTTAGTCGAGCATTTTTTTGTTGTTTGATCAACCAGATTTTTGGAAACTGGTTTTTCACTTAATTTGGTTTTAGCTTTTGCGTTTTCTAAAGAGATGCTGTCGTTTGAAACAATACAAAACGCCTTAGGACTCCCACTATGACTCATTTTTGTAGGCAATTGTTTACAAACTTTTAAATTTTTGCTTGATCCTTTTGTATTAATGAGTTCAAACTTTGAATTTGTTTTCTCAACTGTGGGTGTTGCGTTGTCAGACGACATAGTACTTTCCTGATTCAATTCAGACTCGAGTAATATGACAGACTCATGCATAAGTTGTTTCTTTTTTTTCCAATGTGGAATGAAAATCATCAACTCGTCACTTATCTCGTTATGGATCAGCTTTTTCTTAGATTTTTTGTTCGGCATCGCCAATAAAAGAGAAGAAAGATAGACATTATTTTTGTGGGTCTGAGCTTCTTTACTTATTAAATTGATAAGTTTTTGGCTGACTAAAACGTGCAATTTCAAAAGTTTTTTCGACGGCAACTTTTTGTTGGACAATATCTGAAGAAACAATTCATAAGACTCCTGAATTAGCTTCTGATCATAATAATTCATTCTTAAATATCATCGATTTGTAAAATAGTTCGTTAAAAAAAAATTAAGCGAGTATTGAGCAGTTTACGTTCAGATTTGCTGTATCGAAGCTGAAATTGATTTATTTATAGGAGATTATTTTCTTTTTAATTTATACATATATATTTATTTGGTTTGACGGATTTTTCATCGCTAAAGTCTATTCGCAGAATTGTTATTAGTGGTGCTGGGCCTATCTGTACGTAACAGTAATACTTTTATTTTTCGTGTAAAATAATAATTCCAACTAATAATATTATTCTATATCTGCTTTTTGGAGTTAAAAATTATTGAAGAGACGCCTGAAGTAGACAATAAAATGCCTAATAATTTGGCAAAACATATTCGCTTTCACCCATGTAAAGACATTGAAAGTTTTAATTCAGTAAGTGGAGATACTCGTAACTTTTTAGGTAATAAATTCACCAGGTTATCCGGCGACGTATTTTCACCAATACATAAAACCAAACGTTTCCGTCCAATGGCCGGCAGATTTCAGAATTAATATTTGCTACATCCCAACTACGTTTGACATGCATATTTTTGCTCAACCGCCGTTTCCCATGGGAAATGATCAGTATTCAAACGTTTCAAGCTTAGTCAAGCGTGTTGAAAAGCTTTTCAACTTTCCTGGCGAGTTCCTCTGTGAAGAAGTGTTCAGAATGCTTTTGCACAGCTTTGAACTTTACACGAATAAGTGTGAAAACCAAGCTATCAACGGCAGCAAGGATTTGAGTGCTAAAAGTGAGTCTCCCGCTAATCAGAAAGCGCGTCAAATTCTTTCATACTTCAATATACCTGGAGCTATTATCGGTTCTATAAAAACCAACTTCGATGATGCATCCGGAGAGAACGTCTGTTATGTCTGCGAAATAGGAACTAACATGTTGTTAGACCCACAAAACAAATTTTTTGCTGTTCAGCGTCGAATTGAATGGATGATGAGGTTTTTTATTTCCGATTTGACAGAGATCAAACCTTGCTGGCGTTGGCGTTTCTTTCTTTTGATCCGTTTCTTGGAAGACCCAAGCGTGTTCACCACTACGTTTAAAGATTTTGAGGCATGTAAAACACTTGCTGTTCCTTCCAACATTAATAACTCTTCTAAATCGTCAGAACTATTCTCGTTTTTAAAACGCGATACTCAAGTAGAACTAACTTACGACTTGTTATTTGATTATGGAAAGCCCGTAGAAATCTTGGGATTTTGTTCAGCTTACCAGTTTTATTCTCTGCCGTCAGAGAAATTGATAATATCTCAATACATGATAATGCCGCCGTATCAGCGAAAAGGACTCGGATCAAAATTTCTATCTGCTTTGTTAGAGCATTTGAATTTATCAATTAACATAATGTACGTTTACGTGGAAAAGCCTAGTAAAACATTTAAGCACATGTGGCTTCAGCTATCTTTAAGAAGATCTATCTCACAAGGATACTTATCAATTAATAATTTTTTGCCAAAAACAGATCCTGAGTACGAATTTATCGACGTGCTTGATCGAGAAGCCTGGGAAACTAAAGTAGAAGATTTAAAAAATCACCTTCAATTTCCTCCAAGCATCGTATTTGATATACGAGTAATTCTTTGCCTTGCGCCCTACTGTTCACATAAGATGATCAACACTATGGATCTAAATGAAGTTTACACTCTTATAAACACTGAAAAAAAGCTTGGAATAATTGCAGATGCTATTTTAAAACGAATACAAGTACAAATGGTTGAGTCATACGCATACAACGAAGCTAATTATGAAACATTGCAAGAAGCATATGAAACTAATTTTGTTTTATTAATTGAATCATCTTGTGTTGCGCTGCGCAGTTTGAGATTATTCTACGCACGTTAAATGTTCTGTCACGGGCGTGTGTGTGTGTATTAATTCTTTTTTAAGATATTATAAAATAGCTAAATAAAATGAGTGTTATAAAGAATATTGTTGCTAGATCTATTTTTGACTCCAGAGGAAATCCAACTGTCGAAGTTGATCTAACCACTGAATCTGGCGTTTATCGTGCAGCTGTTCCTTCAGGAGCCTCGACCGGAATTTATGAAGTATTAGAACTCAGAGATAAAGGTTCTGATTACATGGGCAAAGGTGTTTCAAAAGCCGTTAAAAATGTGAACGAAATCATTAGGCCAGCTTTGATCGGAAAAGACGTAACTGATCAAAAAGGTATTGATGAGTATATGTCTCAAGTACTCGACGGTTCTAAGAACGAATGGGGTTGGAGCAAAGCCAAGCTCGGAGGAAATGCTATTCTCGCAGTTTCCATGGCTGTATGTCGAGCTGCTGCAGGTTACTTGAAAATGCCTTTGTACAAATACATTGCTAAACTTGCTGGTAATGATGTTAATAAGTTTACCCTGCCAGTACCTTCTTTCAATGTTATCAACGGAGGTTCACACGCTGGAAACAAACTAGCCATGCAAGAATTCATGATCTTGCCTATTGGAGCGAAAAACTTCGTTGAAGCAATGAAAATGGGTTCTGAAATTTACCACACTTTGAAAGGTTTAATCAAGAAGGAATATGGACAGGATGCAACCAACGTAGGTGACGAAGGAGGTTTTGCGCCAAACATTCAAGACAATATGAAAGCATTGGTAATCCTAACCGAAGCTATCAAGAAAGCTGGTTACGAAGGAAAAGTTAAAATAGCCTCCGATATTGCTGCCAGCGAATTTTACAAGGAAGGCAAATATGATCTTGACTTTAAGAATCCTGATAGCGACAAATCTAAGTGGCTCACGGGAGAAGAATTGATTTCTATTTACGAACAATTCGTCGACAAATACGACGTTGTGTCAATTGAAGATCCATTCGACCAAGATGATTTCGAATCTTACACCAAAATGAACAAAACTCTTGGTAAACGCATTCAAATCGTAGGCGATGATCTTTTAGTAACGAACAAAACGCGTATTAAGCTTGCCCACGAAAAAGACGCTTGTAATGCTTTGTTGCTCAAGGTTAACCAAATTGGTACCGTTTACGAAGCTATTGAATCTGTACTTCTTGCGAAAAGTTATGGTTGGGGAGTCATGGTTTCACACAGGTCCGGCGAAACTGAAGACAGCTTCATAGCTGATCTCGTTGTTGGTCTCGGAACTAAACAAATCAAAACTGGTGCGCCATGCCGTAGTGAACGTCTTGCCAAATACAATCAGCTATTAAGAATTGAAGAAGAGCTCAGCTCTAACTGCACTTACGCAGGAGAATCATACCGTAAATTCTGAACAGCTTGATTTTCATTTTTCTCTGTATAACTGTATTTGCAAATTTGTAAACAAATACTCACTACAGTGAGATTTCATAATTTGAATTCATTTAGTTAGACCTTCTATACTAGTGGTGGTTAATTGATTTTCTTCATTTGTCTAGATATAAATATTTATTTATAAATGTCTACGTACGAATGTGGTTCTATAGAAAAACTAATTACAATGAAAAAAACTATTAAACTACCAGATTTTGAAAACGAAATTCAGGTTGTGCAAGTCATAGCGAGTTGCTCAACTAGTTTGATCTTGAAAGTGATTTTAGAACTATCGAGCGATGATAAATTTTTTTTGTCGCATAATCTTGACAAGAGAAACATAATCGGCTTGAGCGAAGAAACTGAAGCTGATAAAGAAAACATAAACGTTTCAAATAAAGGAGCAGCAACTAGTTCTAAGGCAAAGAGAAATAAAAAAATGGTGAGATGTGCCATGAAAATAATCCCTTTTGGCCAAACTGTTTACGGTTTGAACGTAAACATAATTCGAGAGATAGAAGTATTGAAGATAATGCAAAATAAACCGGGTATCGTTTCGTTTTATAAAGCCGGAGTGTTAGAAGACGACAAAATATTCATTTTGCTTGACTATTACAGCACCGATTTAGAGAAAGCATTAGCAAAAAGATCTTCTGGTTTTTTGGAAGTTGAAGTTCGAAGAATAACACGCGAGATTTTGACAGGCATATTGAACCTGAACTTAGCCGGCTACGTTCACAGAGATTTAAAACCATCGAATATTTTGCTTGCGTCTGATCATTCGAGAATCGCCGTAGCGGACTTTGGACTAAGTCGAAAACTGTTGTCTAGCGATAACGAAAGTATAAATGAAGATGCTGATTCCAGATGTAATTGTAGAAAAGCTTCCCGAAACGTCGTTACATTGCCGTACAGAGCGCCTGAAATAGCACTTCACGGAGTTTGCATGTCATATTCCGGAGATATTTGGTCACTAGGCTGTATAATTTATGAACTACTAACTCAAACTAAACTATTCAATGTAAAAAATGTTAAACAGCTCGTGGAAGCCCAAAAATGGACCAACTCAAATATAAATACTTTTCCCATTTTGCATAACACTCCATATTCAAAAAAAGTTTCGGCTTTAAGTTGCTCAAACGCTTGCAAAGTTTTTATAAACGAATGCTTATGTTATAATTACGCAAAAAGACCTACAGCCAGTGTGCTGATAAATCATTATTGGGTATTAAGCAACTTATAAAACCAGTCTAGTTGCACCATAATAAATGGATATCAATATCGACGATTATTTCGACTTTTCAAACATACAAGATCACCTCGCAGAGAGAAAGGAAAAACTCAAAAAAGTAATTTCATTAGACAGACTCACAAAATACAATAGAAACATTGGGCATTCCAATGACAAAGTCGATGCGATATGGGAGAGCCTTGCAATAGAAGCTATCTTAGACGAACTGATGTTTGATTCAAAAATTCAAACAGACACGAACGCCCTTTTGTACCAGCAGTGCTGCGACATCGAGTGCAAACATAACCTTCTATGGAGTCAGCCCACAAATGTTATTTTGAAACCAATTTCGTTTAAAGAAGCACAAAAAGAGGTATACATCAGTTTTCCGTACTATCCAACATTGTTGAACGACACGGACAAGCAGCTCAAAGAAAAACACAAGATAGAACTCGAAAAACGTAAAAAGAAGTTTAACGAATACGTCGAAATGATTTCAACGTTAATCACAGAAGAAGATGATATTAAGTTAATGGCAAAACCGCTGAGACATCTAGGGCTCGGCGAACCAGTGGTTAAAGCTAAGGGAATGAAGATCAATGACGACACCGACGAACATAACAGCGTAGCTCTGTTTACTGACCCAAAATTGCAATTGCGAAAAGTAGACAACAGCCATGTCCCGTCAAAGTCGGTAATTCGTAAGAGAATAGTAAAAGGTGCTTTTCAAAAGCGTAACAGAATTAATTTATTAGATCAACTTTAGTCTTGATCAAGGTTAGTATGAAATTGAATCAGATTTTTCATTACGTCGTTTCGACATTTTTCAAGGCAATAATCGTTGCATGGATTGTTTGGATCATGATAATTAACATCGTATATTTTGCAGAAGTTTTTGCAGTCACAAAAGTCATCCTTTTGCTGTGGTTTTTTGTGTTTGGCTTCGTTTTGAAGCTTTTTAACGATTTCGTCGGCTTTTTTCCAGACTTCGCTATTCTTGTTTAAGTAGTCTTTGATGAACTCGTTATTTTTACGCGCGGTTTCTTCTGGAACATCAATAGGTTTTGGATCTGTTTCCGGATCTTTGTATACATCAAGATCTTTATCATAAGGAGCGCAGTCGCGTGGGTACGGGTGAGAGTCGTTGAACGAAATGTACTGTGGTGGTATTCGAGTATAATTTACATACAAACTAAACGCGCAAAACGGCGGTGCGGAAACCATGCTACAAGGTCCTATAATATCGTCGATCCAAAACCCAGGACAAGCTACCAGAGTTAGTAAACAGTGCATAAAGCACATTGGAAATGTCATAGCTTCTTGCACACCCAGGGGAATCCAGCACAAAGGATAATTTTTTGCACATAGCATTCCAAAATACGCAGACGCGCAAGCTAGATATCTAGCTTCAGAAGTCCTACCGACCTTGGCGGCGTATTTCGCCGGAAAGTTATCAAAACTGCCGTCGAGTACGTGATCGTTTGTTACAGCCCCGACAAAATGGGTTAGAGAAACAGGATAGAGAACACTGAACATGCAGTTTGTGGATGTCAACAAAGGAACACACGGCAAACTCCAGAGAATCCAGAACGGAGGAGGAATTTTCGGCGGCACGACATCAATAATTATGGAAGCTGCAATTTCAACTATGCTTACTATCGACATAGCGGCGGTCATCCCGATTAAGGAAGTTGTAGCTGACTTGCCCGGATCAGCGGAGGTCATATTCTGTATAACCATATCAGTCAACCATTTTCCCAGTGAAAAACCCGAAGTGTATAAAAGAGGACCGCCTGGAAACTTTACTTTTTGCTGTGAAGATTCATCTTGGATTTCCGGCCCAGCGTCGCAGTGCGGCAAAAGAGTCTGTATTTCGTCCGCCGCAGCTTGAAACTTTTCGAAATTATCTTTGTCGAATGTTTGCTTCATCGCGGTTTTAAGCCCTGTGCTGTCGAATTGTTTTTTAAGACTGTCGAACAAGACGTTGAGTACTTCGCTTTTTTGGTCGGAAGCGCCTTTTAGGTTTTTTTTGTTTGACTGGCAAAATTGGTTTAAAACTTGGGTAGAGTGAGTTAGTGAGTCTAACAGTTTTGTCTGCTCGTTCAGCGTCATATCGTTGATTAATTGAGGCTTTTTCGCACTGAGTCGAGTCTTAACTTTGAAATTGTATATCGACAGCGCTAGACTGTCCGTAATTTCGATATACTCTTTTGGGTCAAAGCTAGGGCAAAAAAACTCTGGATCTAAGTCGGCGTCATCCGAAATACCAAGAAAATTGTTTGTCATTTTGCTTCTCCTAAACGCTTGCGCAAAGAGGAGAGCTCTCGCCAACGAACAGGTTTGTAAAAGTCTCATTTAGCAAGCTGTAACTAGAGTTTTTGAAAAGCATACAAAAATATTGCGAAATTATTGCTTATTCATTTATATATTTATTAGACAAGTAAGAAATCGCGGAAAAAATGAATCTTTCTAGATCACCCAAGTCGTTCTCGATTAGTATGTATCGCAACGACTGGTTTTTGACGAGAATGTCGTTGTACGTTGATCTGACTGTGTCAAAGTTTTTGTGTGCTCTGAGTGCTTGAATTTTATTTCTAATTCTATCTTTGAGTAACTGGGTGAATTCAACTTTCAGCACAGGCGAAAGAAACTTGCTCATGTTATTTTTCAGCAATGTTTGTTCCAGGCTTGATTGGATAAGTCTGGTGCGTAATTTTTCTTTTTCAGCTTCGTTTGTCGTCTTCGACAACAGCCGTTTGATCCGACGGTTATGTATCCAAATTTTAGACTCTTCTGACAAGTTGTGTTTGGCCATGCAAGACTGTTCTTTATGAAAAACTTTGGACCGCAGTTTTCCCGATCCAGATAAAAATCGGGAGTAATTGGGATCGCGAATTTCACCTTCGCTTTCGTCTGAAACTTCGATTTCTTCCATGAGATTATTTGTGCACTTCAGATTCAATTTTTTTTTTTAATAGAATAAAATGAAATAAAGAACATGTTGGCGGCTATCCGCAATAATTTAGATATTTAGCTGAGTCACAAATTGTAAACTTGTTATCTACAAACTGAATGTACCCGCCTTTAATCAGCGTGATGTAGCGGTCTTTAACTTGCACGTTTGAACGGTTCATTTCCGGCATGTTGGAAATAGCGTTCCAGTGGCCTACGCCGTACAGATTCAGCCCCTCGATCAAAACACAGGTTTCTTCATACGTCCACCGCATTCTTGTGCGCGTGCTACCGGTAGAACTACATCTTTTTTTTTTTTTGCTCAGAGATTCAGTCCAAGCTAGCTTGGTTTCTTTTGGAGAATTTTCTATCTGAGCTGGTTGGTCCGAAAAAGGAGTGGTGTTCTCTGTTGAATTTGCGTTGACTTGTGAATTTGTTTTTTCTGAGCCTGAACTGTCAATGTTTTTAGCAAAAGCTTGATTTTCAGCCACATTTTCCGCCTCTGGGCCCGTTGAATATTGACTTTTTATTTTTTCTGGATTTCCTGCAGGCATCTCGGTAGAAAACGTTGCGTATCGCAGCGCTTCGTTTGAATTCTCAGTTGGTTTTTTTTTGCTTATACTTGCAGAACTGATCAGGGCCTCAATTGGTTTAATTTCGTTTTTAATTTTTCTTTTGTCCACCAGATAGTCGATAACTTCGGCACAGCGAAACAAAGTTTCGTCGTCGAATTGTCGTATCATCAAAATCAATTCTTTATAGTCAATGTTTAGTCTTGACTGAACGTTTTCGTCTAA